TGTGATACATTTATGCCGTCCACATGTCAATGGCTTATTACACGACAGACCACATGAGATCTCTTTCACATGGCACGGCACTGCCTTCCTAAGTTCATGTCTGCCGTGGCACCATCTCTGAGTCAAGACGCTGCAAGGTGGACATGTAGGCTCACTATGACAGTTATGCAATACCTCATGATTACAAAGGTGTGCGCGCGAACACGGTCGATTGCAAGTGGGTCTTCTCGTACCGCATGGTACCGGCGGATAAATCACCTCGGCGCCACATTCACAATATAATTCTTCAAAACTGCTCTCCAAGCAAGGCGAACATCTTCCTATATAAAAGACAAAAATTTCACTTTATTATATTGTCCAATTTCGTTCATAGATACAATTATATACTTACCTATATGACATCTTTCCTGACACTTGTGCCGACCACAGCTCAAAGTCTTTGAACACGGTAATGGACAGATGTGTTCAATGTCGATGCAGCACAGCTGATTACAATTGTGCTTGCCGCAGGTTCTCTTCTTCTTGCAGCGTTTCTCGCAGCGCGCATCATCGGCTTTGCTTGTCAAGTCCTTGCAATCAATCTCGCGGTCCATGTTACCGCAACGGCACTTGACATCAGTGTTCAAGTCACATTCCGGGCATTCCCCCACGTGACAAGGTGCTTTGCAGATGTGCGGATTACCTGCGTGAACGAACAAAAATTTGATTTAGCGCGTCTGTACGATAAGACGCAAAGCTCGATTAAGAACACAAAGCCTTACTAGGCTGGCCGCATTTCAAGCGCTTTGAGCAGATTTTATCGCAGGTCGGCACAGGATCCATACAACTCTCTCTCTTTTCCGTTAATGGTGTTTGACCACAACAACACACTGTAACTCTTTCAGGCGTCAAAGAACAGGGCTCGCAGGATCCCGGATGACAGACTTTCTGACAATAATGTTGCTTGCAGTCCAACGTTTTATTACAAATATTATCACAGGAAAATGTATCTGCGACATTGGCTCGGCAGGATACCTCCTGAGTTTTCTTATTACAAAAACACGCTAAACAAAATAAAACAAAACCATTATAATTATGCTGGCTGCTCTCTACTATAATTATTACAATTTGAAAAAATATTTTTCTACATATTTATGTTAAAATAAATGTATATATAAATATATTTATCTTAAATTAAAACATTAAATGTTAGAGCTATCGATAAAGAAATTGGAATATTACTTTGTTGTACAATTTTTTCGCAAGGCCCGCATTCTCCCTGATGACACGTCCTCTGACAGGTGTGTTTGCCGCATGACAGATCTTTTTCGCATATCGATTCGCATATTAATCGTTGTTGAGCGCTACACAGAAGCATTTTCGACGTTCTCCCGCATCCGCAATACTTGGTTACCATTGCCACACACTGTGGACAAGAGCCGGGATGGCAGAGTAGGATGCATTTGTGCATACAATTATTTTTTGATAGATGTCGGCCGCAAATCTCGCCACACGAATGTGCTACGTCTCTGCGATTCCACTCTGGCATCTTCATCTTTCCACAGAAGCAGAAGTAATCTTCAGGCACGAGGAAACTAACATCCCGACAAGCCGGACACTTCCAACTGTTATTTTCTAAAAAAAAATAGACAAATCAGAATGCACAATTCGACAATTTGGCGCGTAATGGCAAGTTCTACTGTTTACTTACCACTCTGAGAGGACTTGGCCCATTTTTTGATGCACTTTAAATGCAATACATGATAACAATTGCTGCAAGACCAAACGTAATCGCTTTGCTTAATATGCTCGTAACAAACCAGACATTCCAATGTTCCTTTGTTCAATTGCTCAGTTAATCTTTCCCTCTGGCTCGAGTCGTCATCTAATAAGAATATACAAAGAAATAATTATTTCATTATGGAGTTCTTTTTTATATAATAATAATGTGATCTCTAATAAACTGTATAAATATACCAATATCATATTTTTTCTTGGAATTTTTTCCCTGAGATGTATGCACTGTCTCATTACTTTCTGCCTTATCTCTCCAATTTGCCACTTTTTTGTCCTTATAATTAATCATCTCATTATTTCTTCTTTGTGTATACTTTGCTGCTGTTGTTTTACGGCTGGTACCAGATTCAAATTGCATATCGTTTGAATTGTATCTATAATTGGATGCACTAGCAAATCGTTTAATTCTACTATTTCGTGGTGCTTCTTGATTTCTTGAAAACATATGTTCCGAATCGTTATTCTCGTGCATCAACATCTCTTCTCTACTTCTATCAATTTTTGTACTCGAAGACGAGTCATCCTCTTGAACATCCTCACCAAAAGTCTTATTTTCCTGACTACTAGACATGACTGAATCAACAGCTTCAGTCATAGTTGTACGAGCTTCTCTAGCAGCATTCTGTTCAGTGAAAGATACATTTGATTGATACTTCCTATTGTAATATTTGCTGTTCTGAAATTTATTATAGTTTCTGGCATTGTACATCCTAGGAGTATCCCTATAGCCAGATCTTGATGGAGCCTGCATATCCTGTGGCTTCTTCTGTTTATAATTGGCATCTCTTCTGTTGTCGTAACGTCTCTCACCTTTGTTGTCCGATGAAGCTGACTTTGGTCTAAATTCTTGTGCGAAGGTATTGAAACCACTTGGGCTGCCGTTATCGTACTTCTTGAATCTGTTATCCTTTCGGAATCTACCCTGGTTGTTCGGCACAAATTCATTGGCTGTAGGATGCAAATTGGAGTTCTCTACTATGGTGGACTGGACGACATCGCCCGCTGATGATGGCGCATGCTTGCCGGCCATCCGATTACCCCTGGATCTTGGTCTGTAACCGCCACGGGAGAAGGACGGAGCGTTGTGCGACGTCGGGACGACGCCGTTCGACGCTCCCGCGTTATCCGCGGATAAGGTGTCTGGCAGTACACGTTCATGATAGGCATTATTCTTCGAAGGCACCATATTCGACGGATACTGGCTGCCGTCCTGATAAAAAGCCGTTGTTGGTCCGCTCTGCTCAAAGACCTGCCGACCACCCCTACCTCTAGGATAGTAGCCTCCCGCGGAGTGAGGTATATCGCTTGGGTATGGATTGTTCTCAACGAAGTACGACCAGTTCCCCGCGGTATCGTCTGCTGCATTCCGGTCGGCGTGTACCAAGCAATTCAGATCTTCCGGATATGAACCGTTCCAAGTGGCCATTACTGCAATTGCACAGTAATGCGAAACTGCACGGTACGCGGGGACAGGGGTGACGATAAGCACACAGGCCTTTTTATCTGCCGAGAACGAATCTCCTCAAACAAAAAGAAAAGAGAGAAAAAAGGATTGGAATCGGAGAATTACCGTTTCGGCGAATTGCAATATGTTACGCTAGACCGCGCGCGTTCGATAGGTACTTTCCAGAACGACCTTGTCCTAACCTAAAAAAATTCGAAAGGATACGCGTAAGCTATGTGTTTTAATTGTTTGTCGGCCGTTTGTAATTTTTAAATTGATCACTGCGAAAAGTTAAAGACTGCAGAACACTGTAGAGCAAAAAGTGAAGTAGCTGCGAGATTCTGACGAACCTTCTCCCGTCTAGCAGCGATTACAGCACCCTCTAATGGAAGCCTGCAATTAACGGAACTACCAAGTAGTACAAATATATCATCGTAACCCGATCGATAAGACTTGAAAAAAAAAAAATTGGGATATCGTATACCCAGATAATCATATACAGGGTGTCCCAGACTGGCTGAATATCTCGGAAAGTATGCACTTTTGAGAAAAATGTTTCAGACAAAAGTTGCAATATATAAAGTGATGTATTATGTTAGCAGTTTGACCTTTGGTAGCGTCGCCAAGGTCAAGTCAAGGTCACATCGATTTTTTTTTAATGGAACACCCTACTTTTGATTCCAGAATTTAATAGCTGGTGTCAAGAACTTTTCAAAACGCTATAATAAAGTTATTCTTCGTTAAATACTTTCCGAGTTTTAAGACTTGAAGGTTACAGTACCGCCGAAATTAGCATTACGCAAGATGTCCGACCGACGGTTAAAATCTCTTGAATGTTGTTCAGGTTCAGGATCATGTCCTGGATAACATTTGTCAAGATCAAGACCATTGGAGATTATACCTCTTATTTTCATATCTACGTAAAAATGAATTTTTAGTGCAAAAATGAAAATAAGAGGAATAATCTCCAATGGTCTTGATCTTGACAAATGTTATCCAGGACATGATCCTGAACCTGAACAACATTCAAGAGATTTTAGCCGTCGGTCGGACATCTTGCGTAATGCTAATTCTGGCAGTACTATATAAGTCTTATAACTCGATAAGTACTTAATGAAAAATAATTTTATTATAGTGTTTTTTAAAAAGCTCTCGACGCCAGCTTAGATTCTGGAATCAAAAGTAGGGTATTCTATTAAAAAAAATCGGTGTGACCTTGACTTAACCTTGGCGACGCCACCCAAGGTCAAACTGCTAGCATCACTAAATACATCACTTTATATATTGCAACTTTTGTCTGAAACATTTTTCTCAAAAGTGCATACTTTCCGAGATATTCAGCCAGTCCGGAACATATGGGACATCTTGTATAATGGAAAAAATGAAAAAAATATATATATCCCAAGATAGAACTTTATAAAGAAATTTTATAAATGAAAGGAATAAAAAAGGAATGACAAGTTTTGAGTGTTTGAAGATAAAATAAATTTTGCAAAATTTGAAATTCGTAATAAACATTACAATTTATTTTTAAAAAATGCAATAAAAAATGTGAACATTTTTAAAAATTTACTGATATTAACAATTCTTATTATGATCCTTATACAATTGTCTTTCAAAATTATAGATAATTATTGTAAAAGATATAAAAGATAAAAGAGCGATTATTATAAGTTATAATGCATTAGAGGCCAAAATAATAAACACAAAAATATGTACGACATAGTTATATTTGTGTAAAAAATTATAATCCGTTTATAAATTTTTATCTAATGTCGTGTTTTATTTTTTTTTGGCATTTGATTGGTGTTGGGTCTAAACGAGTCTAAACGGATCAATTTTTCATGTCAAAACTTGTAAAAAATATTTTATGTTACTCAACTAAGTAACCTGTTAAAATATAACCACTGGTATCATTCGTCAAAATATCGGGGTGTGTCCTGTTGGGCAATACTTGATACGAACGTAAAAAGTTCGTAAACAATTTCATATTTATTACATTGCGTTTCTGTTTGAGTTCCATGTAAGTCTCCTGCAAGGGCTCCCGATGCGCGTGGAAGATGACAAACGGCCGCGAGATTCCCAAGAAGGGCAGCAATGCTTTTGCGATTTGTAAAGGATGCTCTTTTGCTACGATTGTTAAACCACGGGCTTTCATGCTACTTAATAAATCCACAGCACGTTTTGTTTCCAACAACCATTTCAATTTATTTGCAGATTTCTTCGGTTTCTTCAGTTTCGCTGCTTCTATTTCAGGCTCTTCGGATTCGAGTTTTCGTTTCAAAGTACTGTTATCTTCCCCAGTATCGCTTGTGAGAAGCGTACCATTTTCTTTTATTTCAGTTTCCAGCTCTGAAACTTCCATGTCTGTTTCAGATACTTCGTCATTCATAGTTTCTCCCTCAGATTCTTCCGATGATTTTTCAGTATCATGCGATTCTTCAGTGTCTTTAATAACAACCTTTTTAGAAATATTGTCTATTATGCTCGATTCACCTTGATAATGTAATCTCAAGAAACTATAAATATTCACTGCAAGATGTCTGTCTCTTAATTCTTGTGGAAAGTTCATGGCTTCAATGAATGTAGTTTGAGGCATGTTACCGGGATGTAGGTTGATCAAATAACCGCTAGTGTTCGTACCTATTCTGTTGATCATAGCTGCTGCAGGCAATCCCTGAAATCCATTGCTGTATAATAAGTGCAAGCCATCAGATTGCACATCGCTATAGGACAGCATCTGCGCCAGAGCATCCATTCTCAATCCTCCGATTTTCTCGTGTTTTCTTTTGAAATATACCTCATGCAACAACAATATAGATGTTTTGTGTATTGTCAGGAACTTAAAATATTTATTTTTCTTTTTCTTGATGTACTTCTCCTGCGAGTACTCCGTCTTGGCAGAAAAAGACTTGCTGTTCTCAATGAGGCTACTGATTATTTCCTTGCCAGTCTTACCAGCTTCCTGCAACTGCAGGATCTCTTCTTTCGACAGCCGCTGGGATGTACCATCGTCCGTGATGGAACGATTGTCGCAACCGCTCAGCTCGCCTTTTAAATCGTTCCATGGCTCTATTTCATCTGTTAGTGTCAAGGTGAAAGTACCCTTGTTTCCTGACAAGGGTACCATCTCGAAAGTGCTCCAGAATGGTTTACCAATGATCTCTTGCATTTCCACCCTTTGATTTTTCCCTAGCATTAGAATACCATTTTCAGACACTTTGTATATCTTACTGAAGTCCTGTTTCTTGACTATCACGTGGGTGCCCACTGTGATCACGTCCTCCACCGACTCGCACGTGTCTTCCACAACAGCATTCATTGTACCCTGAATTGTTCTACAGGTTCTACTAGGTCTTTTTAATCTCTTTCTTGAATACTTTGCATGTCTGGTCCTATAACTTATACATTTATTTAATTATATTCTTATTAATTTTTCCAGATTATTTTTCTAAGAACGAGAAAGCATTATATTACCTTTCAATGTTTTCCACCCCTCCCTCAACTATTGCCACATGTATTATCCACCATTTTTCATTTTTTTCGGGTTAAGTTTGTGCATAATTCAAGTACTACTTGCATCATAGGTCTACTCAGGTCTACTCGCATCATGGGTTTGTGGCGCATTACCAGTAATCATACTGACCAACCACAGCCAAGAAATTTTAAATGCCAATCGTATTTTCAACTGTGATTGGCTGATTCGCTTACTACTGAAGTCATACCACTCATATCATTGCCGTCAATTTTAGGTTAGGTTAGCAGTGAGCACATGGTTGGTTGTAGAGTTGGTCGTGAACTTGTACTGGATTAATCCGAAGCAATCGTTTGACTTGTATTCTTCTAAAAATTGTGTCTTCACGTTATATAACTCATACAACTACATATTCCTGTTATGTATCTCTACACAGTGATGTGCTTAAAGTATTTGGAGTAAAGTAACCTGAATGTAATCTTAATTACAGTTGTCACTAATACTAACCTTCAAAATATATTTTAAGTGATAGGTATTACGTTTGTTACACACATTTGGTATAAGTTTAATGCGTATTACAAAGCCTGCTTTTTTATTTCGATACAAGTGTTGTTCTATCTTTGTTACTCATTGAATGTCAAGAAAGATAGACTGATGTTTGTGTTGACTTGTGTCACTAAATGCAAAGTACCCCATGATTGCTTTTCTTTCAGACACAAAATTTCAAGTTCGATAAATTGAATCGGTGCACAGTTTATAAAACTGAAAAAATGGTTTTGCAAAAATTTACATATATTATTAAGCATCAAGTTCTGCTTTGATCAAAAATAAAATTATTTTTCTTAATTGATTTCTTCTCATTAGTATAATTTCTGCTTATATTTATTCTTGTTTAACTTTGATAAAAAAAAAAGAATGAAATGACTTTTAAGAATATTATAAGTATGAATCAGATCACAATTAATGAATAATAAAAATAAAATTTTATAGTTTAATTTTAATGTATTGCACACACTTGTATAGAACACAAAATGAACATACTAGAATGGCATGCTTGTGTCGACTGTGTCTTCTAAAAGAAAAGCAATCAAAGTCTTAAGAATTAAAGAAACTTTAGAGTCTTTTTAATAATGTGTTTCACATGTAACACGTTTTAATGATTGCAGAGAACAAAAATGAATCACCACAATGAATTTCAAGCCATTGTGCTTGCTGGAGGAAAAGGCTCCCGCATGACAGAGCTCACAGCAGGCCAACCGAAATGTCTGCTGCCGATCGCAAACGTTCCTATGATCTGGTATCCCTTGCAAATCCTTGAGTGTTCGGGCTTTAAAGAAGCGATTGTCGTTATCGCTGAAGCAACAAAATCCGATGTGTCAGCGTCGTTGGATAAATTGGGTCTGAAAATCAAAATAGAATTCGTAGGAATTCCAGGGGCCGAGGACCTTGGCACAGCTGATTCTATCAGACTCATTCATGAAAAAATATATACAGATATCTTGGTGATATCCTGCGATTTGATTACAAATGTGGATTTATTAGAGATTCTGAATTTATACAGAAAACACAATGCAAGTGTAACTGCTCTGATGTTGCCTGTGCCGAAAATGCCAGACGACTTTGTAACGCCAGGTCTAAAAAACAAACAGAAACCAGAAACGGACTTAATCGGCATCGACAATAATACAGGACGGTTGGTATTCTTGGCTTCTGCATCTGATTTCGAGGAAACAATTAACATCTCACAGAGGCTGCTCAGGAAGCATGCTAGCTTCACCATTCACTCCAAACTGATGGATGCACATTTGTATATTATTAACAAATGGGTGATAGACTTTTTAATATATAACAAGTGAGTGATTTTACTAGGGGAAAACATTGAAGAGACTAAATGTAAATCTAATCAAATGTAAAAATGTTTTTCAGAAATTTCACAACGCTGAAGGGTGAACTTCTGCCATATATAGTCGGTAAACAATTGTCTAGACCTAAACAGTCTTTAGATGATAAGACATCTATGGTACAAATGGATTTGAAAGATGATATTTTCCATTTTGCATTGGAGAAACCGTTAGATGAGCTAATAAGAAAGATGTCAGCCTTCAATGATCATAGCACTGATTTGGAGGATGCATATAATGGAGATGTAATACGATGTTATGCCCATGTATCAAATGAAAAGTTTGGTCTTAGAGCAAATACCATACAAATGTATCATCTTGCAAATGCTAAGGTTGAGTAGTGTTATTTATTTTATAAATCTTTATAACAAAGCAATAATATATATTATTCCAAACACATATGGGAGAATTTGGGACTTGTCAACTAAAAGTCATCTACTTTATAGATTATGAATTGCAAATAATATGTTTTCGTTTTAATATATTATAAATTGAGGGATCAATTTCAACTAATTTAAGAAATATTCTGTACACAGATATCAGAATGGTGGAATGATGATAAAAATACTGATCAGTTGCCGTTGCTGCCATGTATCTCGAGCACGGCGACTGTGCGCAGTACACAGATGCAAGAATGTCGCATAGGCGATAATTCGTTGATCGAGGAGAAAACATCGTTAAAAAATAATCATATTGGGCCTAACAGCATCGTGGAATCGAAGACAAGAATATCTCAGAGCGTGATAATGGGACATGTAACTATTAAGCAAAGGTAAGTCAAAATGTTATCGAAATTATTCGTCTTATATATTTTACAAATCGCTATTTTTTTATAGATGTGTTATCCACAACTGCATACTGTGTAATGGCTGCACCATCAAAGAAGGCACCGAATTGAAGAATTGCGTAGTTGGAGCACAACATGTTGTGAAATCTGGTAGCCAACACATTCACGAAGTACTCACTGATGCAGATAGACTCATAGAAATTTAATTTTTATTTTGTATTTTGTATACATTATTGTAAATATATATAATTAGATTATATTATTTGTAAAAAAATTTAAATGTATAAACGAGAAAATTACCTTTTGTAATTCATCATTTAGATTACAAATAAGTGTTAATGTATCTAAAGTGTGTAACAATCTTATATTTATATTGTTAAAATAACCATATAATTTAGATTAATATTTCTTTGCAAGAGAATTAAATCGTTTTCTATTTAAAAAAATAAATTTTTAATCTTATCGATTACTTAATTAATTTATTGAATAAATTGAAGTTAATAAAATTATTGATCTTTTTTATTGAATGAATTACCATCTGAGTAAAAATTTCGTGTAGTTCCAATCGGCATCTGCAGATATCGTTTGAAAACGACTCATTCCTTATTGGTTGAATTTTGATTGAACGAAGAAACGTTCGGAATTTCGGATTCGGAACGGTACATCGTCTTTTGGAGTGCTTTTTCATCTAAAATGGTGAGCATGAATTTATGTCATTTAAATCGATTTATTTTGCAGCGATCCTAATAGCCGGTCGATTGATCGGTGCGGAAAAAATGTTCTTAATTTTCATAGAACCGATATAATTGAATAATATCGGGCAAGAGAAAGATATTCCGCACGATAGTAACGTGATACCGGATTACAGGTTATGTTATAATAATGTTTACGTGATAACACGTTGACATCACTTATTCCCTGAAATATGTTTATCTTTTGTTTATTTATCTATAAAGATGATTTAAAATAATCCTTTTTTATATCGTGTCATCATTGATTCATTTTTTTTCTATATGTAACATGGAATCAGATGTTACAGTTTTGTTTTTTCTTCATGTTCACAGACGAAGGGTACATCCAGCTTTGGTAAGCGGCGTAATAAGACGCATACGTTGTGCAGGAGATGTGGACGTAGCTCCTATCACATCCAGAAGTCACAATGTGCACAATGTGGCTATCCTGCTAAGAAAATGCGTTCATGTAAGTTGCTGCTATGTGATGTAACATGTTTACATAGAGGATTGTCCATTGTATTTATTCAAATAACTAATGTTTAATGTTAATAGAAATGTTAATTAATTTTTGACTACAGATAACTGGTCGATCAAAGCAAAGAGGAGGAAGACCACTGGTACTGGCCGCATGCGTTATCTTAAGATCGTACGCCGTAAATTCAAGTAAGCTATAATAGCTACACTACCGGTCAAAATTATATCATTTTTTGATTTTTTGAGCATAACTTTTATCAAAGTGAAAAATTAGTAAAACATTAAAAAATCATGGTGTACATTGTCAAATCTCGTTATACTTTATGTATAAGGTACACCTGCCACCAAGTATCTACTGTATACATTTGAGCGCATTTGATTTACTTTGACAAAAGTTATGCTCAAAAAATCAAAAGATGATATAATTTTGATTGATATTGCATATTATAAATAAAAATATGATAAAAAATATGAAAAATTAAAACACTAAAAATCTATATATTTTTTAATATTTTTTTTTTCTTAATCTTTTTATTAAATAAGAGGTGTAAACATTATCTAATTTTTCTTATAATTTACATTGCATAATTTATGTATACAACCATTTTATTCATGTTTACAGGAATGGATTCAGGGAAGGTTTACCAAAACCCAAAGCTGTTGCAGCTAAGTAATACATTGACTTCCCTCTGTCTTATTGTCTAATTAAGTTGTAATTTTGACTATCCAATAAAAAATCCAATTACAAAATTAGCACTTCAATGAGAATTCCTTATAATTCAATAATTCTAATAACATCGTCATATTTATTGAATTATTTACTTCTTTAAAGTACTTATAACTATATAAATATTTATAAGTTTCATGCGTTTTTTTATTATGTTATCCAAAGATTTCTGGTTCCTCTTCCTTTCATTCTTGAATGGAATTCTATTCAGGATAAATTTAACCGTTTATTTTCTTATTAAATAGACTTTAATCCCTATATACCCTAAGAACTCATATTGGCTTTAAAAGGCTTTTTTATTATATTGAATAATGTTCGTTTCTACCAATGTAGATTAATTTTAATCTCGATTCAATTTGCTCTTGATCTTTTTTTAATTCTTAGGATTAGAAAGAGATGAAGATTTAATTGAATCGAGATTAAAATTAAACTACATTGATAAAAACGAGCATAAGTAAGATAACTTAAAATTAAGTATGCTTTTGTATATTATCTTAGCTCTTTTTTTCTCTATTAATACATCAAATAGTATTTGTAAACATGAACTTCTGATAAATCTGTATATGTATTCTTATGTGTTATATCATATCTGACAAGAAAATTTGAAGACATGCGCGATCAGAAAGATAAGGTGTGTTGTCTACGTATCGTTTGTGCAATCTTCGCGGAATTTTTAATTATCGCGTCGTCCCATATATTTAGCAAGCCTCCGATCTCACCGAACAGTACGTTTGATGCACGATGATAACTCGGATGATTGGTGTAGCTTCATTGTGCATCTAGGCATCTGCCGATACTGCGCTCGAAGACCGTTGATCTTCAGCTTGTCAATTTGAAAGTTATGCCACGAAACAATATTCAGCGAACGTTTCGTCTCCATAAACACCGCAGAATTAAGAAAATTCGCTCGATTAAATAATAAATAAATTTAAAAACACGAAGCGCATTTAAAATTCAAATAATTGATCGAAGGAAAGATAAGGTATGTCATTAGTTTGGTGGAGAACGCAGATCAATTAATCGTCTCCACAAACACCAAAGAATTAAGAAGATAATTCATTCAATTAAATAATAGTAAATTTAAAGAAAGGAAACGTACAATTCAAATAACTGATCAAAGGAAGGATAAAATATCTCATCAATTTGATCGAAAAAACGGATCAATTAACGTTTCTACTTTTTATATACATAAAATCTGTTCCAATACCAAATACGAATTTTCACAAGATTTGTATAGTACAATTCTGTACAAATGGGCGTTCTGCGTCAGCTACTGTTTGGTAAGTGCACGTCTTTTATTTCTAGAAATAATAGCCGCTCCTTTTGTCTGAAATTTATATTTTTGGCTGTGCAGGTAAATATCTGTTAGTTACCAACACTGTGAGCTGTGGCCTGATGATGGCAACGGGAGATGTGATCCAGCAGCGCAGCGAACATTGGAAGAAGCATTGTTCTAATAAATACTTTCCGAGCAGCGTTATGGCAGCGTCACCAGAAGATGAAAAGGTGACGGCGATTTCCAGCACGTACGGACATGATTACATGAGAACCAGGAATATGACGATTGTAGGATTGCTTCAAGGTCCGTTTCATCATTGGTTCTATATGGTTCTAGACAAGATTTTGCCAGGCAGGAACGCAAAGTCAGTCCTCAAAAAAACCTTTCTGGATCAATCGATTGCGAGTCCCACGTGCCTAACGATATTTTTCGTCGGTCTCGGGATTCTGGAGAGTCGCAAAATCGAGGAGATCGGCAAAGAGCTAAAGCTAAAGTTCGGCGAAACGTGGAAAGTACGGGATTACATTCGTTAATCAATATTTCAATAACTGTAAAGAGCGAGTTTATATATTAATTAAGATTCAAAAACTATCGAAAGCTTTCTTTTTAAAATATAATGTACGTAATAACTTATTGAAATTGTACCGCTAGGTCGACTGTTGCTTTTGGCCTCCTACGCAATGCATTAATTTCTTCTTTGTACCTCTGCATTATCGGGTACTCTATATAAATGCTATGACGATGGTCTATGACATTTTTTTATCATATATGAAATATGTAAGTTTTACTTGTATGTTTATCAAGTTACAATCAAACAAGTGAATATAAATTGTTATTGTTTAAATTATGAGCTATCGCAATGAATAATTATTTATTTCATCCGCAGGACGCTCACTTCGAATGACAATAAAAATCTCACGGCTAATTCTTCGCAAACTAACTAAGCTAGTCTGGGATAGTCTGAACGAAAGATATGATTGTGCAAATAATAATTAGGAAGCATACATTATATATGTCTATCTTTATTAATTGTATCGCAATGTTCAATAAAATACCGTCGAAAAGAATTTCTGAGTAAGATTACCGTATCTTCCCATTCCATGTATTATCGATTCGATCTATTTGTTTGTTTTCACGATTTTTACCAGGATGGCAAATAAATGTGAGTAATCATCCACTACAGTTCCTGGTACAATATGTGCAAGAAACTATCAATAACAATTAAAATTCGATTACTGTAGGAATGTTAAAATGCTATTTTTTTTATAATTATAATATTTCGCGGTGATTTTCTTCAAAGAAATAATAATTTAATATTTTATTATTAACTGCGACTTCTACTTGGCTAAGATTACTTAAATCGTGACTACCTTAAGATAGAAAAACATTCTAAATTCAAAACTATGTTGTGACACTAATTATTAGAGATGCTACATTTGCTTTTCTGCGATTAAAATAATATTTCTTTGCGAGATATCTCTTACCTCATAACGTGTTAGTTCACACACGAACAAATCTAGTGGAGAACTTGGAAATTTATTGGCGACATTCAAGCTTGAATTTGAATTGTAAATTATTCGTACGTGGAAAGAATAATGCGGCGTGCGATTGTGAAATAATCGAACTGGTCTGCGGACACGCGACGACACGTATCCTAAAATTAATGCGTATTCACAATGAGATCGCCTTATCGCGCGCAATAATCTCTCATTGAGTTTATTTATTTGCTCGACAGCTTTTGTTTGGCATTCGGCGACAGTGGGATTACACGATCTTCTCCAGTCGAACGTCATCACGAGCAAACACGATTAACGGATATAAACACAAACAATAAATTCAACTGCGATACAAAATAATTGACGAAAATATTTGGCGTGTGAAATTTTGTAATAAACCTCGCTATCGCTTCCTGTTATTCACGTTTTACCTGTTTTTTTCTGTTACGCTAACAAGACTGCGTCCTGGAATTAAAATACAATCTTTGCAAACTTTAATTTAGAGTCAATGTCACTCTAAAAATTGAAATCGAACTTTTAAAGATTGAAAATTGAGACGCTTCTTTCAAGACTGAGAGTCCACTCCAAAAAATTTAGAGAGAATAATTTAGAGAGAGTTTCTGTATAAAATAAAGATGTGTGTACATTGTACAATATATAGGAAGCAATCGTGAAGATCTCTACGCTTCTTTCATACGTTATCTACGCCGTATTATTTTATCTCGGACAAAAGAAGATTATACTTCTCCTATATATGCTCTCTTATGCTGTCACTTATATTATCTCACTGTTTTTCGCAATGATATATAAATTGTAGTTTTCAACTTCTATAGATTATCTGCGATATCGTCAGTGTGATTGGAAATTTTTCGCCGCGATAACAATATATAAATATCGTTCGTAATTACATCAATAATCTTCGAATCGTTGTCTTCAACGTTAATCTGCGGTTACAAAATTTTAAGATTAGTTTAACATCCTTTGTTTTATCGAGCATTGTTCAAGATTTTTCATTTGATTTTTATTATTATTACCCTGGTGAAAATTTTTTTCAGAATTTTTTATATAATTTTTCAGAATTTCTATATATTTTATAACTTTTTCATATTTTTTATACGAATTGGAACACTTCTTAAAAAATCTACATCTTTTCTCAGAATTTTTCATATATGTTACTATGAAATATCGTTAGATTTCTTAAAGTTTTTGTAAGTATAATTTCTGAAAATGTTATAAAATCTAAAGAATTAAAAAATATTTTTCAAAAATTATGGGATGAGAAATTTCAGAATATTTCAGAATTCACTTGTATGAAAAATTCTGAAAGAAGATGTAAACTTTCCGAATATTTCTGAGTATTTCTGAAAAATGTTCCAATTCGTATAAAAATTATGAGAAAAATTTTCACCAGGGTAACGATGACATATTTATCGACTTATCGAATTGTTAAATGAATGAGCTCTGATCCCGAGCAGTATAATTCATTGGCGAAACATTGGTTAAACGTTGGCATACATTGGGAATATATTGGGAATATATGGGCCAATGTTGCGCCGATGAATTGTGCTACTAGGCTTGTTTCCATCAATGTAGATTAACCATAACTCGATTCAACTTACTCTTCATCTCTTTCTAAAAACTAGAAATAGGCATGAGGGAGGATGACTTGAACTAAACTCAGATTAAATAATAGCAATTAATTCAAATGATACAATCACCTAGGGCAAGATTTCAACTACATAAGTTATTGTTCTTAATGACAAAAAATTAATTCTTCTTGTTAATAAAAATATCACTTAACAATTAAGATAATTAACTCAATCAGCGATTACAATTCAACTGGCAAAATTGCCTAAAGCAAAATGTCTAATAACTTTGTATGTAACAGTTCTTCGTTGAATCTTTTTTTTTTCATAAACAAAAAATTAATAATTAAATCTTTATTAACAGAATAAAAAAATATCGCTATTATTATCAGATTAATACTAATAAGTTAATCGGAGTTTGGTCGAAGAATCTCCCTATAGATATAAATAGCGAACTGTGAGTGTGACTGAGAGAGTGCGAATGTGTGAGGCCGGAAGGAAGGAGAGAGTGGTGGGGGAACTTGGAACAGCCGATGATTATTAGCTGACTTCAGTATGCTCGATATTTTGGTTATATCGAGTAGTGATTTATTTTTTTCGTGAATGCAGATGCACGAGGCATCGTTTGCGTTTTCCCGTGACGGTACCCGTGGCAAATGAGGTCGGCACACTCCACGTAGCATGCATCTCCACTCGACAAGACACCTGAAGGCTCTCTTCGTCTAATTGGCCTACATAACCGCTCCGACAATTATGAATTTGCAAACGCTTTTTCAAGACTTCAACCCGAGGTAATTTCTATGTCATTCAATGCAACACTCGGTGACTCATTACGGGCACCTTTGTGACGACATATTAATTATTCATATAAGTATGAATATAAATATTTATACAGCTATATTATGTGCATTAATTTTAAATTTCAGTAAATTTCTGGTACACACGTGTTTGATGATATTCACATCTCTATTCGCTCTTCGATTGGATGGTTTCATTGAATGGAGTTATTGGTCGATATTCAGTCCGATATGGTTCTGGAAAAGCATGGTGATCCTGGGAGCGATAGTTGGAAGCTACGTCTGGTGGAGGCATCCTCATGCGAGATTAGAAGGAGATGCCTATGTACATTATAAAGCAATGCTGATTACCTTGGCGTTGCATCTGATCTTGTTGATGTTCGAGTTGTTAGTATGCGACAAATTAGAATCTGAGAGGCACTTATGGATATTGGTATTCATACCTTTGATTTTTATCTCGATAGTATCAATTGCGGTAAGTAAATATATCTTCAAACTGCTACTGTGGTGATTATATCGATGAGTTCTTTCATTTTCTGATTTTGTAATTTAGGTTTGTATCTGGGCTGTAAAACATGATCGGTCGTTTGAACTGGAACTGTTTTGTGCAGTGAATGTATTGCAATTTATCTTTTTGGCTTTGAGATTAGATGGCTTTATAACATGGAGCTGGGAAGTTGTGTTCGTGCCACTATGGGCACTTCTTTGCTTATCCTTGGTAGCTGTTTTATATGCGATAGTATTCGCCGCTGTTTTATTGAGAACGCCACAGATCAATGCCCGACAGAGGCGGACTTCCTTGCATTCAGCAGTGGCGTATACATTTCTCGTTGTTCCCATTTTAGTATTTCAGGTATAATCAGTATATCTTTTTATGCATGTCTTGTTAAGTAAATTTTAATTGTTTTAATTTTCTTTTCACAGCGTTATTTGATAAAAATTATTCTGTTTTAGGTACTGCTAGCGAATAAATTAGACGGAGATATTTCAATAAATTATATAACAGTGGCGATGCCACTTCTCCTATCGCACATGACTCTTATTTTTATGTCTTTTGGTGCAAAAGGTGGAAATAGATGTAAGACATAATCTTGTGTGTAGACTGTTATTTAATATTAGAACAAATCTGTCTAAAACTTAACTCGCGCACTAAAATGCTTCCACGTCTCATTGAGCGAGACAAATGGGAAACAAAAAAAGGATAGATTAATTAGAGCAGCTAATTTGCTAGGCAGAACTCTAGCGTTTATTCTTTTTGTTTTCTATCTGTCTTGTTCAACGAGAAATTAGTAAGGTGGAAGCATTTAGCTCATGAGCTAAGTTTGGAATAGGCTTGCTTTAGGATAATGATGTATTATTATTTTGTTTCTTTTGATGTAATACATGTACAAGATTATTTCATTATTAATTTTATTTATTAGCATGTAAGAACGATTGAATTTTTGTTTAGGGTGGTTTGGTATCAGAAAAGACTTTTGTCACTTCCTGCTAGGTTTATGTCCATTGCTTCAAGAATATGGTAATATTTCTTATCAACCAAGAGACGAACGAGATCAACCACCATCTGAGCCAATGATTACGGAAAAGAGCGAGAAACTTATTAAGAAAATCGACCTAATGAAACCTGTTGTGCCTATAATCTCTATAGACATGCCTGACTGATTGGCTCAAAACAGGTATTGTTGCAAAGATATATTTGAGAAATGTATTACAGCAATGTGTAATTAACGATGTTTAAAATTCCTCGTTTTGTTATCTTTCAGGATTAGCTCGGATATTTTTAAATTGTTATTTTTAATGCAACTGACTTAACAGAGGCCAAAAATATATTATAAAATAGTCAGGTATACTTTTTATTAAAATATTAAATACTAAATATACATAATTGAATATTATTATATTTACTTGTATTATTCCCTTCATTACTTTCATTTATTCTAGGCCTTATTAAGCAGAGATCGAATTACACAGATATATACAGGGTGAGTCACTTAAGACCGGCCACCCGAATAACACCCACAGTTTAAATAGGAAATAGGAAAAACTGTTTCAGATGAAAGTGGAACGGTTTCAAGGGAAACGTATTTTGGTCATGTTATTTTTCTTCTAGATGGAGGCATCAAAAAGATATGAAGGTCACCTCCTTTTTTTTAATGGAATTATATAATTTTTTTTTACGTAATATGATTCCTTTAATTATTCTGCATATAAAAGTATTAAGATAGAGATATAAAAAAAACAGTAGTTTACGAGATATTTTATACTTTATCGTGACACATATTGACATAAAATGTTAAACAATTCGTAAATTATTAATTTTTTTATAATCATACCTTGATATTTTTATGAACAGAATAATGAGATGAATCAATTGGTGGAAAGAAAACACATAATTGCTTATTTAAAAAATTATCCATTTCGCGCGCATACATATTTTTTTTAAAGCAACTGTGTTTTCCTTCCATCAATTGATTCATCTCATTATTCTGTTCATAAAAGTATTAAGATACGATTATTAAAAAATCAATAGTTTACAAGTCATTTAATATTTTATGTCAATATATGCCAGAATAAAAGTATAAAATATCTCGTAAACTATTGGTTTTTTGATATCTCTACTTTAATACTTTTATATGCAGAATAATTAGAGGAATCATGTGTAAAAAAAATTATACAATTCCATTTAAAAAAATGGAGATGACCTTCAAATCTTTTTGGCACCTCCATCTAGAAGAAAGACAATATGACCAAAACACATCTCCCTTGGAACTATTCCACTCTCATTTGAAACATTTTTTCCTATCTCCAAAACTGTGGACGTTATTCGGGTGGCCGGTCTTAAGTGACTAACTCTGTATATATATGTCGGCTGGGATACAAGACTGAGCACCTCGCATCTCTAATAGAATAGCATTGCCAGAAAGCGTCAAAAAATGAAAAAATGAGCGGTTGGACAAATTATAAATTAGAAAAGTGATGTTTCTGTTAATGTTGGACATTGTAATGTTAAATGCCCGATCATTTATTATATTATAATGTAGAAATAATGTATATACAGACTGTTACTCATTATCATAATATTACATCTGATGGATATTGAATATTATACGGGTCTATTATACGCGACGATGGTAGACAAGTACTAGTAACGTTACATTATTTTATATATATATTACATTTAAAAAATACTATTATAATCTAATAAAGTTTCTATTTTTTGGTATCAACAGCAACGATCAATTAATTTCTGCGATACTGCTAATTTAATATATAAAACAATATTGCACGTGGAATATCGAGACTACTTCAGATTTTTAGTAATACTATTCAACAGCTTTTTTTACTGCAAATATTATAAGCATTATAAACATAAAAGTGAATATGTTGAATTTTTTGTTCGACATTGCAAAATCTTTGTAAGTTATGTAATTTATGAAAAAATAGAAAAGTACGTCGTGAATATTTTATTTCGTTATGTATCCTGTTACGGCTGTAAATTTTGTTGAAACCTCTTTTTCACTTCCCAGGAGATTACCACAATGGTACATATTCTGGTACCCACGTCCGACCAAGGAGCGAGGATAAGTTCGTCGACACTTTAGCGATATCGAAGTCCGCATCTTCTATCAGTGATGTTTCCGAAACGTACAATACCTGCAGACGATGTGCGCACAACGCAACGAATTTCGCTAATCCGGAACAACTATAAAATGAAAAAAAAATTATTTCTTATTAATATTTTATTGGAAAAAGACATGATGCGTATTTTCTGATATATATCATTGCTGCAATATTGAAATATCCATTAATTCATTATTAATAATAATTCATTATTAATGAGAATTTGAGATATTTTGACAAATTATACAAATTGATAATATAAAATTAAACATTAGTGATAAACAAAGTGAAGACAACAGTTTGATTAATTTTCAAATTATGTATTTATGGAAGAAATCAAATTTAAATTTACAATATCTTCGAATTAATAAAGATGTTTCAATATTGAATTAGAGTAGTGATATAGCATATTCATGAGTACAAACGTGATTTCACAATCGCCCAAACTGACAGCACTAAGGTGCGAGCAACTCTTGGCCATGGAAATCAGGAATCGATCGATCGGACCGGATTCATACGTGGCGATAACTAATTCTATCAATCGTGGACATTGCTTGCTTATGCGTGACATCGACTCGGATGTTGCGTCATCGAGATACAAGTGCGTTACGGGGATGTGCGATGTGAAAAGTAATTTTTTATTATCGTCATCGGTCATGTAAGATAGTCTAACGAAAAATTTAAAATACAGCTGCAGAGCTTATTTTGACTTTTATTCGCATCGCGCGGATATTATAATAATAATTCTTAATCAAGATGTATATAATTTGTTCTTACTTACAGCGCAAGATTTATGTCGGGAAAATGATTCGAAAAAGTGGACCACGTTTTGTCGCTAACAAGTGAAAGAGGCTTCGCTTCTGGGTATGCTTCTACTCGCAGAGTTTCCAAGTGGATTTGCTTTACCGAACATAATGCTAAGAGCAGCTCATCGCTCAGCAAGGCATACGATAAAGATAATTCACGAAGCCATCGACAATAGTTGTTCAAAGCGAGGATGCCTAAAACATCGACGAATTTTTTTTAACGCATGTATGTGCAATTTATGAAACCGCAAACTTAACTTTTATTCGTTGCCAACGATGACAGCATACAGTCTTCGAATTACCTTCGGGCAATAGCTGCGGAAATCCTTTAACTCGCACGAGATGCAATGTTTTGGGATCGTTTTCGTCACCGCAACAATAATCTTTCCTGCATTTGCCATTCTTAGCCTTAGAGATCGTTACTGCAGATTTAAAACGCTCATCGTTGATCCCGAGCTTCTCCGTGCTTGTTACCGCAAACATTTGCGATAATAAATCGAGACGTTTAATTTTACACCACTCTTTCAAACTGAATCAATGAAAATTTCGTTGATTAAAACAACAATATAGAATTTCACTAGGAATTAATGAATGTTTTATTCAATCTTTTCATCTTATTTTGTAGAATTGATTAATTTGATTTCTGAGACGCTTATACATTGTACTTTTTTACTCTTTAATTTTAAACTTTCTTTGCAGTCACTATTCCTGGAATTTAATTGAAACAATCTATCATTAACTGATTCTTTCCAATGAAATCTCATTGAATGCGGCGTTAAACTTATAACTGCTGCTGTATATTTTTAACTGCTTTCCAACGGTAATACACTAATTCCATTTAAGAGAATGAGTTTAATCTTACTCGCGGTTCGAACGTTCGTGATGAAAGAAACTCTGGAGTCCGCCGTAAAAATATTCGCACGATGAGTGTTCTCGATAATAAACAGAAGATACGTTCTTTCGTTCTGCCGCGAACCATGGTCCTCCGTGAAACGGTCTATCTCGACTCACCGAGATGAGTGTTAGGAACGAGCGAAAGGAGTTTGCGGAAGTGGGGACTAGGGCATGCACGCGAGGTACGTTAAGTAAAAGTAAAATCGCGAAGAAAAGGGTCAAGGACTTCCCGAGATTGCTGGCTCGCATATATTCTTCGCGCACTGTTCACGTGTATTACGCAAAAATGTAATAGCTTATACACGAAGTCTCCACAGGAAAAGCATGATAAACGCGTGATCCAAGATGCGAACTTGTGTGATTAATCAACCAATGGAGTTCAAAAAAAAAACATGATTATATATACTTCGATCAAGAAAATATTGAAGTCAAGATTATAACAAAATTTTCATTACATATTTTTTATCTGTAGAATTTAATGCTAATTGCATCAGATATTTGCAATACAATCTTACATAAAAGAGAAATTAATCGCTTGCAAAATATATCAAAAGATTAAAGTTTTAGTTTTCAATAAGTTTAAACTAGTAGCAATTTTTAGCAGTTTAAATTTTATTTAAATCCGAGAGAAGAATGTTGAGTCAATAAAGTTTCTTAAACAGCAATGACACTTCTTTAAATATCATCATTATCGAACCGATAACCGTTTACTTATTTATTTAGTTCTTAACGTCTTGCACGTGACGTTCCTTTCACTAACCGTTCACGTGCTACCAAGCTCACGTGTATGGATCGTTTGCGCCCCTTCACGTCTTTCTGACATTCGTAGAGGCCGGACTATCCCAGTATCAATATATAATTGACTTGCAGCATATGTTACAATCACCATCAAAAATACGATTGTTGCATGCATAATAAAAATACTCAATTGTTAATACCAAGTAATGGAAATTAGAAAGACAAGATTCTAAAGAGTGAAGATTAAAAATAAAAGAATAACGAATTAAAATTTGTGGAAAAAATAATTCTTTATCACGTATAACTTTTTATAATAAAAACATTTATAATTCTGTTTGGAAAAGTTAGATTTATTTAATAATTAAAAGTAAATTTAAACAACTTTCGTTTCTACATATAAACTTATTTTTATTTTCTATACAGTATTAATTACCTATATGCTTACTATATATATATATATGTTATTATAGTTAATAAAAAATATAGTTAGTAGTAATATGCATACAATTCCCTTTTTTCTTTCCTACTTGAAAATTAAAGTTCAAGATTTGGTTTTATTATCATCTTCGAATCCTGCTACAGGCCATTTATTCAAATGGTCTTTTAAAACAAAAGGAAAGAGGGACAGTACTTTAAAACAATTTCCCATTTTATCTTCATCGGTTATCATACGATATCCTGATTCAATATATTCCTTTTGATTACTAGAAGCATTCTGTAAAATCATTTTTAACCGTAAATCGATGCCAAGACTTTTCAGGAATTTTCTTTGCGTCACTGGACCAAACGTGATTAATCTGTCGTCTTTCTGTGCAATCTCTTTTAATAATAAAAAATCAACATCCGCAGTCAGATCTGCGGTTCCAGGATTTAACAAGGGATCGTGTAATTTATGCTCGCAGAATGCGCGAAATGTATCGGTCTTTTCCCTCTCGTGACCATAATCAATCACTAGTGCAAATCCTCCATGCTCCCACAAAAATTGGGACATGTAATCTATTATCACAGAACACTGTGGACTTATTTCCACATGATCTCTTTTCTCGTGCGGCTAAAAGATATCGTTTTTATCATTCTATTATCTAAAATTTAAATGCTACAGAAAACGACACAAATAAATGCTCACAGATAAGTATACTTTACAAGCAGCCGTTGGCATTTGCGAAAGTACATATCGAAATCTTTCTTCCTTTGAGTCTTGCACTATATCTATTAAGATTTCCCTCCAACCTTTGTCAGTTTTCTAAAATGAAGCGATATGACTTTTGTAAAAATTATCCTTTATATGTTATGGACTTTCTACAATAAATTATTATTTAAGTTTTAAGTCTTAAATCATAAGATATTAACCAATTACAGTCGAATGTGAGAAGAAAAATCGATTATGATTGGTTAATTTCATATAGCTTAAAACTTAAAGCTTAGATAATGACTCATTGTAGAAAGTCTATTTAATATTCTACAATGAGCTATTAGTAATAAATTAAAAGTCAGAAGCTAGAAATTGACTAATCAGTAGAATATGAGAAGAGTAATTGACTATGATTAGTTAATTTCTAACTTCTGATTTCTGATTTATTACTAATGGCTTATTGCAGAATGTGTGTAAATACATTAGTATTAACATTTCAATATTTCCATACCTGGAATTTATGTATTGGCAGAGCATCAAAGAACTCTTGTGCAATAAACACACTGAACTTTCTAGGAATATCATTGATAGAATAATACCAATATATTTTTACTTCTTCTCTCGTAACACCCTCTCTATAATGCGTAATAGAATTCTTTTGGTCTTCATTCACTCTTGGCTCAATACTTTTGCTTTTTGTACACAATTTCTCTGCTTGAATTGCAGACAAAACAGGACTGATTTCTACTAAATGAATCGATATCTTATTTGAAAGATTCAGTTTCTTGAATACCTAAAATAAGAGACAACTTTTAATTTTTACAGTTGTATGTAGACTTGTAATATAATATTGAAAATATACCCGTAGGATATCATTGATCAAGGTACCTCTTCCTGGACCTAATTCCACAAGTTGGATAGAATCTCTGCTAATCTTTCTCCACTCATTGATTATCCAAATTGCCATAATCTATCAATGATGATTAATGTACAAGCTACTTTTAAGAAATAATTTCTTGGTAATTTTAAAACATAAATAGGAAAAAAAAAGAGATAGAATTATTTCAATAAGGGTATTGTTGCAACGTTAACTTCGTAATTTTTTGAGATCATCGACATAATAAATAAATACAGATCGTTTTCAGTTCGAAGAGTTACATACTTCTCCAAAAAGTTGACTGATTTCTGGAGAAGTTGTGAAATCGCCTCTTTGCCCGAAAACATCTCTAGTTGTATAATAACCTGCAGTGGGATGAATCAAGATCTCCTTCATGTACTCTGCGAGCGTTATAGGCCCACATGCTAACATTTTTGCATACAATTGACGATATAGATCCGTTTTCTTTTCTAAACTACTCGACGAGCGTAATGTCATTTGCGATAAACGAGAGAAAGTTCGCGTTAATCGAGACAATGCAATCATGTTAAATACAGCGGTAAATACCTTGCGCTGTATGTATATAAATCATTTGTATAACTACAATTCATGTAATTGCAATAATAGATTTTTATATTAAAAATTTTTTCATATAAATTTATCACGATTTTCTTAAACAGTATAGGTTAGGTTTATCGATTAGGTCAGGTTAGGATAAGTTATGCCTTTTTCCACGAAACAAGAAATAACTGCAGAGAGTGAAATTGCAAGAGAATTGACAATTGAGAGAACTCCATTACTGTTGAATGAGTGTGAATATCAAAGTGATACAAAAATTACTCAATTTAAATTTCTTATATTTTTCGAGCGTAATTTTTAAACTAGGTGATCTATTTTTTGACAAATGGATATCGGAGAACTGTTGTCTTATAAGGTATGTAATCGAATTAGCGATTTATATAATTTCTATTTATTTCTACAATATATGTATTATTTAATTTAACCTCTCGCTTATATATCATAATTTTCGGCTTATAAAAATTTTCTTTGTTAATTTTGCGACTTACTTTTTCGTTTGCTACAAATAATGTATGGTAATTAAATGATGGTAATATGTATAGCCTCCAAACACACCAAAACGACCGACAGCAGGGGAGGAGGACGACGAGGATGAATGGGAGAATGCAAAAAGGCCAAAGAGAGTGATAAAAACACCGTATCATGCACGTCAACGACAACCCAAGGAACTCGATGTAGTACCGTCTAGGAACGATGAACCTGCTACGCCTATCAGAGCTGCTTTACCTTCGTCGACTAACGATGTAGTTGAACCACAATTAACGGAGAAAGAGAAGCAAGATATATTAAAATATGTAGAAACTGAAGCTCCCGAAGTCGAAGCTTTGGACGAAGCAACGCTTAAACGTATGATTCTTTTGTTTGAGAAGAGAGCTCTAAGAAATCAGGAAATGAGAGTTAAATTTCCTGATCAACCAGAAAAGTACGCAAACACATAGAGTTACATAAATATTTGTCAGGAGGAGATCTCAAGCATAATTCTATTCTTTAAACTTTTACAGATTTATGGAATCTGAGGTAGAACTGCATGAAACTCTACAAGAGCTTCATATCATAGCGACAAATCCAGATCTATATCAGTTAATGGTAGAACTAGGCGCTGTGCCTTCTTTATTAGAATTGTTGTCTCATGAAAATACTGACATAGCAGTTGGCGTAGTAGATCTTCTACAGGAATTGACCGATGTAGACATATTACACGAAAGTCAAGAAGGTGCAGATACACTAATAGATGCTTTGTTGGAGCAACAAGTTTGTGCTCTTCTAGTACAAAATCTGGAGAGACTCGATGAAACAGTAAAAGAAGAGAGCGACGGTGTCTATAACACACTTGGTAATTATTTAATAAATACACATTGTTTATTTTTTATTTCTGTAGAACTATTTCTATTGAATTAATTCAATAACGGTTTTTTTTTATTTCCAGCCATTTTTGAAAATCTGCTGGAGTTTAGACCAGACCTGTGTGCAGATGCAGGAAAACAAGGTCTAATGCAATGGTTATTGCGCCGAATTAAAACGAAAACACCTTTCGACGCAAACAAACTTTATGCCAGTGAACTTCTATCTATACTTTTGCAATACACGCCTGAGAATAGCCTTCTTTTAGGTGATTTGGATGGAATTGACGTTTTGTTACAACAATTAGCTGTATGTATTTATATGTTTTTAAATCAGTGTATTGCACATGTTATCAAGTTGAATTATCTTAAAACTGATTGTTTACAGTATTATAAGAGGCATGATCCACAGACTGCAGAGGAACAAGAGATGATGGAAAATTTATTTAATGTTTTGTGTTCAAGCCTAATGGCTACTGTAAATCGTGATAGATTTCTGCGTGGTGAAGGTCTTCAACTTATGAACTTAATGTTGCGAGAAAAGAAGATGTCACGAAATGGATCCCTCAAAGTGGGTTTGCAACATGTTTTGTTGGAGTTATATAAATTATTATAATTGAAATGTTGCAGGTTTTAGATCACGCTATGAACGGCCCGGATGGAAAAGAAAACTGTAGCAAATTTGTAGACATTCTTGGATTGCGAACTATATTTCCTCTATTTATGAAAACTCCAACAAAAAATAGAAAAAAAATGCTTACTGCAGAAGAACACGAAGGTATTGAAAGATGTATAGTCTCGATATATTAATATTACTAAATTAATCAATTTAATTATTTATAGTAAAATAATAAAAAAGTAATTTTTCAGAACATGTTATTTCAATCATAGCAAGCATGTTAAAGAATTGTAAAGGGCAACAGCGTCAAAGATTACTTAGTAAGTTTACGGAGAATGATTATGAGAAAGTTGATAGATTAATGGAATTACATTTTAAATATCTTGAAAAAGTAGAAGAAGTGGAAAAGAATGGAAAGGTACATGCACAATCAAAAACATTTAATAAAGATATCTAAAAGCGAAAAGTTTAAAAACTTATGTTCTTGATTTTTTATTTCTATCACAAGGAGGATGAAGACGAAGAAGAGTCTTACTTGAGGAGATTAGATGGCGGGTTATTTATATTACAATTAGTAGATTATGTACTTTTGGAAGCTTGCACTGGTTGTCCGCCTGCAGTCAAACAACGAGTGACAAGAATCTTGGCGCAGAGAAGAGCATCCCTTAAAACAATTCGACACATCATGAGAGGTAAATAACATGTATTTAACGGCATATTTAATAACAAATCTATATCAATAATGTATTCATTCACATATTTTTTATTTTAAAATCAGAGTATGCCGGTAATTTAGGAGATGATGACACAGAATGGAAAGAAGCAGAGCAACAACATATCTTGCAATTAATTGATAAATTTTGATATGTATTTTCTATATTAAAATATATTGTTATATATATAATAATGTAATAAGACTTAATAACTTTATATTATGTAATGTACAATACAATAATCGTAATAAATATATGTACAACACCATTATATAAAATATTAAAGTATATAAAAAATATGCTATTGATTAAGGGTTATTTAAGAAGAATTTTATTTATGGAATAGAAAGCTATTTTATAAAAAAACTTGCGATTAATCTTAATCCATTCATATATTTTTGTTATCTATAAAAATATCTTATAAAAGGCTTAGGGTCGCCCAAGGTGTAATCTCCATGTATACAAAAATATAGTTTGTTTTAGAGTTAAAAAAATTAAACAACATTTATGTCATTTGCTAAGTATAATATTAATATAATAAATGTATAAAATAAGAAAATTATTATTTTTGTGAAAGAACAATTTAAAAAAAGTATTCTAACATCGAACATTCATTTAAAAATTTTTGAATTCTGCTAGATTCGTTTATTGGTCATGTTATTCTGAAATTTAAGGTTCTAACGGAATCGACCAATCACAGCTGGGCACCCTGAGAATAGGTTAGGTTAATAAAAATAGAAAACCGGTGACGATTTGACGAGTATCAGTGAAGTGGCGAGAAACAAGTTGTTCGTAAATACAGATTTATATGAATAGATTCTATTCTGTATTTAATTTTTTCAACGAGATATATGTATAGATAAAATATGGATAGCAGTATAACTAAGGATGCAACAATGGAACCTCAAGCAATAAAAAGTTATCAACAGATACTTGACAATGTGCTCGCACAGGTATAATTGTATAAATTTATACTTCTCAATTAAATTTTATACACTGATTTCCTCTTATTTATATTATATTACATTTGTTACATTAAAAAAATTGTAAATTGACTTACATTACAGAAACTTGAACAAAATGAAAAACGAATTAAAGCAATAACAGATTACAAAAAGGGGCACAAAAAAGTAATAGAGGGACTTGAAGCATACCCATTATCACTTTCTGAGAATTGTATGGTACCTATCGGCAAGCTGGCGTTTATGAAAGGAAAATTAACTCATACTAACGAAATCTTGATTTATTTGGGAGAGGGCTATTTTGTCAAGTATAGTGCATCACAAGCGATTGCATTATGCAACAGGAGAATAGCATGTATAAATATTACATATATCCTTCAAGAAAAAAATTTTATTAGATGTTACAACTGGTTTTATGTTATCAGGGGCGGATGAAATGCTGAAGAGTTTGGAAACTGAAAAAAACTTGTATGAAATGAGACAATATATTCCATTGGAACATGATGTTTTTGGCAAGGACAGAAAAGATATAGTCGAACATTGGACCGAGAATAAGCTTGATGAGTGGAAAGGTATACAGAAAATTTGTCTTTCATTTTTATTTACATTGTGTTAGACATTGAAATTAAAATATTCTTTTGCAGTGCAACATAGACAACGTGAGAAGGAGTATCGTCAGAAACTAGCCAAGTTGAAGGAAAAAGAAAGGATTGACATTCGTACTGAAGAAGATCTTTTTAAGAAACTTGATCAATTGGAAGTGGAAGAAGCATTAGAAGATGAAATTTACAGGTTTTACTCAGTTTTACAATTAAAACTTATTTTTAATGAGAGTCGTACTCTATTAATGGAATTCTTTAACAATTATTTACTATTTTATACAATTGCAGATTGGAAACCGAACGAAAAGCATATTATGACTTGAAAGATGGTAAAGTTTATGATGAATCAGAAGAGGATGAATCTGATTCTGATCAAATTACAACAGAGAAAATTCAAGAAGAATTAAAAAAACTGGAAGATATCCAAATGGATAGAGCTACAAGTGATACATCTAAAGACACAAATACAAAGGAAAAAAGGAGAATATCATTTGCTGAGCCATGTGTCATAGAAGACGAAAGCAATACAAAAGAAATATCAATATCTCGAGAAGTCTGTTCTGCTCTGAAACAAGATATATGTAATGAAAGCTCTGAAGATGAAAATGATACCATTAGGATTGAATTTTCACATTCATCTCATACTCCAGATATAGTTGAATCAAATAATATGGAAATACAAAGTCCAGTAGATATTTATAAAATGTTTAATGCTCCTAAATCAATTTTGAAAAGATCTCCAAACGATATGATTTTCAATGAAGCTGCTCCTCCTTTAAATGAGAGCAGTAGTACAGATACAGAAGATGAAATTGAACATGTTAAACATTCTGCATACAATTCTGTAAGTATAAATAATTTAATCATTGTATTATCACGTAGATATTATATATACTAATAAACATATTTTGTAGGTAATCAAAGAGATAGTCCAAGAAAGTAAAACTTCACCTGTAAATGTTTCGACAGAGAAAGATGAAAAAAGAATTGTGAGTAGGTTCAAACTTGAACGAGCTGGGAGAAAGTGATGATTTGTAAATACATATATTGAAATCAAAAATCTATTTTCATAATACATAACTTTCCAAAATTACATTTATACTTCAATTATGTGTCATTTAAGAAACTATTTTGATCATCAATTTTATGAAGATTACAATAAATGTAACCTATATGCGGCGATGCTTCGAATTTCAATAATGAGTTCAAACAACATTAATAAGAACAGAACGCAGGATAATGTACATAATATTTACAATATATTTATTTCTGCGGTTTCCATACAATAAGTGAGCCATTTATATTATAATTTTTTCAATAGAATGGAGGCAGTACATGATAGTAAATGAAATAGACATAATTACTGTCTAATGTAACATTAATTCTATGTTGAAAGCAATCCACTATCTCGCACATCCTTAAGAATATTATATAGGTGCTTTTTCGACCAATTTGAACCAATGGCCGCATTCACAACGACGTGGAGGACCTTGATGCAACCACATCCAGTTTACATGTAATGAATCCTCATCACAGATGCATCCCATTATGCGACTTTCAAATGCACTGTATACTAGATTGGGATCTTCCTTTGTGCTGACTTCTCGCCGCTTTATGGTCAGATTATACGGATCCTAAAAAGATACAACCATATATGTTTTTAACAAGATCTTGATATTCATCACTGTGATGTCTATTAAAAAATACTAAGCTAAAGTATACACAAATTTATAAAAAATAATCATGAAAAAGAAATGTATTCTTATTATAATATTAATTTCTTATCTTTGATACTTGAAAAGCCTTGTCAAGAGCTTAATTTTTCCAAATTTATCACATACAACATTTTATTACTATTATAGTATAATAATTATTATATTATATAATAATTATTAATTAATAATAATTATTATATTGCGTAATAATTATTATATTGCTATTAATAATTGTATTATTATTATATAATTATGTCGTTAATATAATTATTATATTACTAGCACAGTAAAGCCATAGGAATACATCCACACAGGTGTGCTAGCCGAAATGTTGAAATGTCACAACTTACTTCGTTACCGGCTAACTGGGCGAGCATTTCTCTCTTCTCCAAACCTGTGGCATGATCGAGCGGATCGGCAACTGTCAAAAAAAGAAAAACAGAGATATACGTATGAAATTGACCGAAGTTTTTCTCTCTCTCTTCATCACGCGCAATACGTCGGCCGTGGACCGAAAGTCAAAATCAATGGGCGAAAAATATTACGTAATGTAGGTAATGTGAAAACGTGAAAAATCTGTGCGGGACGGACGACTCGTCTCGGAAACTATATTTACATTCTTTCTTTTGGGAGCATGCGAGGCTATAAGAGATCCGCCGTCGACATGTTTGGAGCACGGTACGAGCGCATAACCATGCCATTTTTCAGAATGTAGAAGATATTACACTAGCCGTGTCTCGGCCCGACTGGGTTAAGTTGTGAGTCTTTCAGTCGCGGATCGAACGATGCGCAGATCGTCGTCCTGCTAAGTAAAGTCACTAGATTTATAATCTAGTGACTTTACTGCCAGGCTGCCAAACGGGCGCTAGCGAGGCGCTGCAGTATGCAGAATTGACAATTCGAATGAATGAACTTAGCCGATACGTCGAATAATCATATAGTTCAAAAATATTTAATTTAAATTTAAAATTATCCAAATTATTGAATTTTTTAAATTATGATTTATAACTTCTCATAAAATACAAACAATCATAAAAAAAACTTTGTTTAATTCATTTTTATTGATCAATTGCATAATGCAAAAATATATAATTAAAATTATCTTAATGACTGCCGAGAGTCTTATAATTACACTTCAAACATTCATACAAAATATAAATAATAGGAATGTTTAAAAAAATCAATTAAATCGGCTAAATTTATACGAAAATTAAGAAGTGAAAAGTTTGTAGATATCCTTAACATTTTATAGATCGCTTGTATTAAATCACATATTTATATTTTTTTTAAATTCATTAAGAGCAAACTTACTTTTTTCTTGTGATTACAAATTTTTTAATTTAAACTGGAAAAATGTTAAGAATATATGAAGATGTTAAAAAAATTGAAAGATTCGATTTTGTAAAAGGCATTTTCATCTGAAATAAAAAATATATAAAAATCAGTAGATATATAATATTTGCGTGTAAGTGGCTACGTTTACACCGTGCGCTTAGTCCTCGATCTATACGATAGGTGTCTTTATTTAATATACAGGATAAACAAGGACATCTATTGTATAGGCCGCGGACTAAATGCACGGTGTAAACGTAGCCAATGACAGTATAGAAATTTTATTTAGGGCCTCATTCATCAACTCCGATTAACGCTAATCGATGGTTGGCTTAATTATCACGATTGCCAACATGAGAATTAAATACAATTTGTTTCAAAACAAGAGGATAGAGATGTTTTGAAATATTAAACTGCTATCAGCACTTTTGCGAGTTGATGATCGATTAATTTAACCGGTTAAGTGGTATTGTAGCATATATGCACAAAAAGAATCCGTGCCAAAAGTGGTATTGTAGCATATATGCACATCTTGAATAACTTCTATATTATTCAACGAATTTGCTTGAAATTTGGTATACTATTGTTTTTTGGGCTTCTGAACTCGATTTTGGCGTCAAATTTGTAAAATTTGATGGCGAACACAACATGGCGACTAATACGTTGAATGAAAATGGCGATTTTTGTATATATATTGCAATTACGTTTTACCCCCGCAGTTTATATACGAAATGAAATCAGCGACCCAAAAAACCCCCAGGGCCAAATTTTGGTATATTTTAGTTTACAATTGACGCCTACCACTTTTGGCACGGAATGTTTTAAAAAGCCTACCACTTAACCGGTTAATCAATCGAAGTTGGTGGAAGAGGCCTTTAGTCTTATTATTTTTTTTTTCGTATAATAAAATCTAGTAGAATTAGAAATTCGCGCGAGAAAGGCACAAGTACTCAATACGTTGGTACATCAATGTGTTGGTAACGCTGTCTCTGATATGGGTTGTGTTCCAAAATTTACTACCACTAAAAATAGTTTATGTTACGTGCACCATGGGGTGCGAATTACACATGAAGCGCACAATACGTTATTTGTCCTTATTGTTTACCAATTAATAAAGAAGGATAAAACGATACATCATGCGTTTCATGCGTAACTCGGAACGTACCCATAGATTTTTCAGTACTAGCAGTAAATTTTGGAACATAGCTTGAAGCCGGCTCTTCTCCGTGAAAAGAAGAGATAAGTTGAGGTTCATTCCCTTGTATAACATTATACATTTTAATTATAAATATATATAATATTACTTAATATTATATTATATTTAATATTATTAAATTTATATAATTCGGAAATTGTCAATGATTCGATGTTTAATTGTTAAGAAAAGTTTAATTGTTAAATTAAATTAAAAGTTTAATTGTTAAGAAAAGTATCAAGTAAAAGTTGAGTCCCGCCCAGAACTTATATATCTATTCAAATCGAGCGCCTGTAGGTGGACATTAAATATAATCGCGGTATTAAATATTTATGAACAACTACAAAGTATGCGCATAAATATTTAAGGCATTTGTGATATTCAGTGTACATATATAGTATGTACATATAATATAATATAGTATGTTTGTATATCGGGCTGTGCATATTCTTCTTACGAGGAATTCGAGAATGTCTAGCCTACATTTATTATAGCGTAGAAAATATTATTTGCATTTTTTCCCATTGTACTAGATTTGCTAGCAGTACAAACCACTGCCTTGATTTTCAATAATATATTTCGTTAAATATTGTACCGACTTCTCATTTAATCCTAAGTTCGGTAACTCTCTTTCAAATTGTTCCAGGGTACCAGCTCCTGCTATGTAACCATTCAACTTGGCTGCCAGTGGAGACGCACACAAAATTTCTGGTGTGTTGAAGTCCAATGTTTCAACCAGCCATGGATGATTCTGCAGTCGATATTTTTGATGGTAACTAGAAAGATACATAATTTTTAATTAAATTGGATATGTCTCGTCTTCCCTAGTGGAAAAATTTTTCTGAAATTATTCCATGTTTTGAAACATTTCAGCGAAATTGTTGAAAATTTGCTGAAATTTCACTGAAAGTGAATTTTTCATCTAATATACTGAAAAATCGTTGAAACTGAACTGAAATTATTCTGAAATTTTTTTGAAATTTTACTGAAATTTTGCTAAAAATGAATATTTCAGCTAAAAATCGTTAAAATTAAATTGAAATTTTTCTGAAATGCTGAAATTTTGTCGAAAAATGTTTCAAAACATGGAATAATTTCAGCAAAATTTTTCCACCAGAGTTCTGTTACATTTGTGCAGCTTAATTTTATCGTCTTATTTTTAGTGATGCATTCGAGCGAGACGAGACGAGAAAATACCGATACCGAGATTTAGACTCGACATAAACAAATGATTGATAGAATTTTTTCGTCTCGATGGGTCGATAATAGACCTGTTCTTTTTAGCTGACTTTTCTTTCCAGGAGGAAAGAAGAGGAAGAAAGATGAACTGGTGCAAAAGTTCAGCCAAAAAGAACGGGCCTATTCTCGCTTGTCAAGATTCTCGAATTTTATCTTGAGACATTCGAGAATATCGTTTCATTTATTTGAAATATTTATATAACCAGGCAACACATTACATAATTATAACTCATAAAGATGTCGAGACGAGACGAGACGAGAAAAACAAATGATAATCTCGGAAGTGTTTCTTTTAATGACACGAGAAGTTCTGAGATGATATTCCGAGATTCTCGTATCGAAATGCATCACTACTTATTTTTTCTATATTGTTTACATATTTTATTATATACTATCTATCTGTTAAAACATGTACATGCAACTAAATTTATATTAGTGCCTATCTATGGAAATTCAATAAAAATATTTTTAAAATGCTACCATATTAGAAATATATTTAAAATTGCAAAATTATAATTATTTTGGATTTATTGTTAGCAAATTATCTATTTTATAACTTAATATTATTATTATAACATTATTGTTATATTATTACGTAATTATATCATATAACAATTATATAAATATGCATTTTATTAGCAGTTTAAATTAGTTGATATGAATGTTGTCAGAATACTCTACTCTTTAAAACTTTTAGAATGAATCTCACTCTGAAGAGTGAAATTTTACTAAAGACTGAAAATTGAGTCATTCTTTTTCAAGACTGACTCAATTTTCACTCTTTAGAGATTCTACTCCAAAGAATTTAGAGAGCAAGTAATGTTGAGTAATGGAGTAAGAGTAGAAAAGAATTAAATTAGTATTGAAAAGTATAACAACATATATATATGCACAAATAAAATGACAATGTCACTTACTCTTCGGCTGGATAAAACTTTGAAAACTTTTGAATTTCTGTGACAAAGATTTCCCCACGCTTCCACTGTTCCTGCTCGCGAGATTTTTCAGCTTGTAATTTTTGTTCTTCATCGTGATATAAGATCAGCGACATGTACTGCAAATTAAATTAATATTTAGTATTTAGTTTGTACGCAAATGACATGTGAATGACGTTTTTAATTATTTATCTCACCAAAATAGAGTGATTTAAGAGTTATAGATAAATTTAGTTTGTCAAATCAGGACTTTGGTCTGTATAGGATGTACTAACTTGGCACACTTCAAAACTGTATACTTATAATTTTTAAGTCATTCTATTTTTTTACTGAAAGTGATATGTAGTTAAATATAATTAATGTGTATTAGCAACATACCTGTCTTTTAATCTTCTTTGTTAGACTATATTCATGATTGTTCCAAAACAAGCTCAGTAGATATGTATAAGATACTACTTCTGGATCATATTCTATGTTAATGACCTCAGTATGGTCCCCCCTACAAGTAGAAGTAAAGAATATTAGAAATGATTTTGTGAACCTTTTAAATTACATTATTATGACAACTGGATGATAGCAATGGAATATTAACATGTTCTTGTATGTCGGAGACTCCTTGGTCCCACCAGCGTAGCCGACACAGGTTCTGATGACACCAGGCAGTACTCCAAAGAGAGAATCTCCCGCCCAGAAGCAGCCCATGCCGAAAGTGGCAAGCTTGCCTTTGATCTCCTTCAGTTGTTCTGGCATTCTGCTGAACGGACAAATATTGTTACGTTCAAAGATGTTCGGGCACGTGAAGTGTGTGCCACATTGGTACGACGAAATGGAGCAATTGTCCGCGAAAACGGTACGAACTAAACATGGTAACATAACGGTGATCATGTGGTGTGATCGCAACATCTTCGACGATTTCGGTTTCGTCTGATACGCCGCCCACTTTCATGGACTCGACGCCACGCTCTGTAATGCTTCCACAGTGGCATGCGTTAAACCGGTATCGCGGACGAGCGATATCGGGTCGGGACCGTCAGGACCGAGAGACGAGCTCGTAGCGCTCGCACCAGAGTCGCCAGAGTGGCGGACGAGCGGACGAGTGCGAGAGAGGGGGACGCGCACGTGCTGAATGTCTACGATTGCGCGAAAACGTCAGGGAGGCGGTTTATCGTGTGGAGTGCACGTGTGAAGAATGAAGGTCAAGGAAGACCAATTCCCTGTGTGCTCGACTGATTAAATTAATTAATTGATTCGCGGATCAAACGGCGAGTATCAGTATAGATCATAAGTTCTCCGATTGTCGTGACCTGGATGTTTGATACGTAGACCGCGACGAATTTTATTTTCGATATTATCACTCGTCTAAATTCCATCTAATTTTTAAGGTCAATTTTAGCAATTTAAGATTGAGCCAAATGATCGGTTATTAAACTTAGCTTGTTATCGAATATATTGTACTTAATTTGTAAGAATATTTTTGTAAAAGTATTAGCTTTCAAAGCAAAAATTAATATCGTTTGAATGAATAGATTCGTTCGAATGAATATATTATAAAATAATATATTAATATTATACTGCTCTGATTTCAATTGTTATATAAATTAATTTAATCATTATTTCGGCTCTTAGAAATTCTTTGCAAATGATATTTCCGGAAGATTAATGCTTCAACTCTTAATGACGTGTCGAATTATGTATATTATCGTGTTATATAATTTTTTTGCCGTATAATTGCTCAGCGATAATATAACGATATCAATACTGTTATTAAGACTTACATAGAGCTAAAGAAGTTAATTTAAGATCTTGTAATGAATACAATTTTTGGTATAAATTAATTATGAATTATTTTGTCAATTTTTCTTGTGTTATATTTATGAGACGTTTAAGTTGACAGCAAAAATTTAATGTGAATTTAAAAATTTGCATGGAACAAGAGAGACGATTTTTCTTCGATAATTGTTTATCTTTACTTAAATTGTTTATTTACATCCGAGTTCTGATATTGTGAGTACGTGCTATGTGCAAACATTTACACATACAGTAATAGGTATTATTAGCTATTTAATCTTTTAGACGAGCTTATTACTTAAGATTTTTTCAAATTTGATTTCAGATTGTGTCTTGAGATTTCATATAGTTAGTAAAATCATTATACTTAAGGCCGGCACCAATACCCTTTTTTAATCTTCAAATTCTTCGCAAAGGACGAAGCTCAAGTCGAGAAAATTCGAAATCACAATTAAGATTCTAAAATCTTGAAATGATTCGGAATTCCTTATTTACGATTTACACATGATATTCAAAATTTGTGATCCAGACGTCCCTATCTTTCTTTACTCTTGCGGTTTTATCGACATGAAAGAGGAGGATTTACACTCCGGCTGAAATACCGAGAAAATATTATTTTCTATTTGCAGAAGATTCGTGGAAATATAATGAAAAATACGTAAGTACTTCATATAAATTGATCAAATTTTATACAATAAAACAAGTTCGTTAATTCGAACGTCATTTAAAAAATCCCCGCTTTGAAACATTCAAACGCGATTGTTTGAAACGTTTACATCGAATTTCGCGAGAATCAGAAATATTTAGAAACAGAGAAGATGTTTTTAGAATTTCATTTTACCTTAATTTTACCTAAACGGCAAACTCGAATGTTCGTGATCGATCTGCTCGAGCGATGATTTATCGGACCTTGCTGTCGATCGCAGGTTTATACACGATGATGCTTTTTTCTGGAACGAATAGTAAATTCTTCGAGTAACTGGAGTAAAACCGACTGTCGTTTCTACAGACGGCATTCGGTTTTTATTCGAGCATGTATGTCTCTCCCCGCCACATCTCTCATCTTCTCATTCTCCCACTTCGTAAACGCTAAGACGACTGTACGATTCGCTCGTGCGTTTCAGACCTGAATATAGACTAATATTCCTTTCATTGTATGCTGGAAAAAAAGGATTGACAAAAATGAACAAAAATGTAACATAACATTTTTGAATAGCATCAAAAGTTTGTCAACTTAAAAATGACTATAAATATACTATGACTCCTATTCAGAACGCGCTTTTATCTCCGAAATTCTATAACATGTGTAACATAAAGTATAATATATTAGCGCGATAGCGCTATTGTTGTAACCGCGTTCTGAATACGGGCCTATAACTCGGACTAAAGGCTGTTATAAAATGTATTATGTTACTTTACGTATGAATAATATTCAAATTTTAATAACTTAAAATTTTCCAAACATTATTATAATGTTGTTCATTATTTTGGAGTTTGTAACCGGTGATTCAATTCAATGATTTCATTTTGTTAGTAAAAATATGTTACTAGGAATATAATATAGGTACTTCAAAGTTACAAATGAATTTTAGAAGGAAGATATGGAAGGAAATCCGCGTTTGAATGTTTCAAAGCGGGGATTTTTGAAATGACGTTCAAATTAACAAACTTGTTTTATTGTAATATTGATCAATTTATATGAAATACTTATGTATTTTTCATTATATTTCCACGAATCTTCTCTCTCTGCAAATAGAAAATAATATTTTCTCGGTATTTCAGCCGGATATCTTGCTAAGCTTATTACCAATATCAAATATCTTGATGTTAGAGATAAGTTTTTATGTAAAGAAAGATAATCAGTGTTATATGAATGTTTTCAATACTTACTTAACAATATAAAAATAATAACTGAAACATATTCAAATTTTATTATTATTATAATATCCTGACAGGTTAAAATTGTTATAATTGTAAATTCACAATTTTTTTCACGGAATTTATTCGCTAATAATTAATATAAAATACTTGTATAAATGATAAAAAATTAAATAAACTATAATAAATAAAAATTTATAGGATAAAAATTTTATTGTGCTAGATAAAAGTGTAAAATAGTATTTGATAAATCTTTCACTGTGGAAACACATTCTTTCAACATAAAAAAAGAAGTTTTAGTTTCAGTTTTATGTAAATTTGTTATGTTTGAATTAGAATACGATTGTATTGGTGCTATGACCCCGTAACTGTTGCATATTTTTGATCGAGGACGCCAGACTACGATTTCTCACTGATTTCTCACTGAAGAAATATTCCGCGTTCTCTTTCGATTTTTCAATTGTTATTATTTAAAAAGATAAAAAATTCTTATAAAAGTGAACAAATTAAAACTTAATATGTAACAAACATATATTTTTAGACAATTAAAAAATTTGTATCTCGCGATTTGCTTTATCATATTTAATTCGTCAAATATTAAAAAAAAAAAAAACAGAATAGATAATCATTTGAAGGCTTGACATCAAATACTTCAGATGATATATGAAGTACAAATGCATACGTATGACGGATTGATAAACCGTATATTTAATTAAGTGTGATTATTTGAGCGATAATTAAAAATCGAGAAATTATTAATACAAATTTGTATTAGATTAATATGTCTTTCATTGCGCTGTATAGTGAATCCTACAGAGAAAATACATTGTATAGATATATAGTTTTCTATTTAAATAACATGAATTCTGATACGATAAGATTTTTTTCAATTATTTGATATCGAATATCGAATTAAAGAAACAAACATTTGAGGCTGTATTATTAAATACAAATAATACATGAAATTTCTATAAAGAAAATATATTTAATTAAAAGATTCGCAATGCAAATAATTGCCATTCATTGCTTTTACCCGCATTGCGAAAGATTCGAGTAATGGCAATGACTGGCAATATTAAAGGTTCAAGGAGACGCTATTAGCACTATTAGTGTCATTCTATCTTTGTTTTACGTCTAATAAACAATGAAAATAGAATGACAGAAATAGCGCTAATAGTCTTCTTGAACGCACCATAAGATATTGTGAAATTCACAAAATATTTAGACTGCCATTCGTTTGTCCTTCATCACTAAGCGGTATATTTTTGAGAGGCAAAATGTGTGAATGATTTAAATTTAATATAACTCGTCGAGGAATAAATTTAATACATAAGATACAAATAATATCAAATAAAATTCAAGCATTTATATCATGTCTTTATTTATTGCCCGTTGTGGTTCTAATGAGGCTCAATAAAGCGTGGTTGTTGCATCAGAAAAGACGAGCGATGCACAGTAGTTGATTAAATCAGTTCTCAATTGGTAGTCGACTGATGTAATCTTTCTCTTGTGGCCGCTAAGCCATCATAAATGTTGGTGTCACCGTCACTGTCATTATCAGTCACTCTGGAGTTCCTGACCCGTTATGTATCTCGACCCAAGTGGAGTTCTATATTGATAATAGTAAAATGAGTCATGGAAACAGTATGGCTAAAATAGACCAAATCGCTTCGGTGAATAATTAAATGCAGTAATCGTCATGTAATAGTATATATATATATATATAAATTTCATCTTCGATATAAACATAAATTATCGTATGCGCGATAGAAATAGGTTTCAGTAAAATCTGTGTGTATGTGTGAATGATCGTAATAAATAAATATTAAACTCGCAAATGATTTATCAGCTTCATAGTGAGCTGTTGCCTTTCTATTATAATTCGCGCTTTCTAAATCACATCATAATGTACTAAAAAGTAAGTCAATATTTATATGATATATAATAACAATTTCTCTTAGGAAAAGCGTTAGAATTCTCAAATTGAGCTTATAAAAAGTTAATAAATTATTTTTACGCATTACATAAGATATGTTAAGTGTATAAAGTATAAAAGATAACGTACACAGTAATTTTATTTTTATATAATTTTACTATATTACAATACAATATAAACAGGTGATAGACGTCACATAAATTCATTTCAAATACAGCCATTGAAATCAACTTTCGCCATAGACATTCTTAATCAAATCATGTATGAACAATCGCACGTGTGTTACGTACTGTTAATTAGAATAATCAGTGGCGATTATTATTATTAGAAATTCCATGATTAACGCAATTGCAAGACGCGAAACGAGTCACGCGACAGTCGTCGTAAGGCCGGAAGCCGCACAAAGTTTGGCAACGTTTATTATGCATCACGGAAGGAATGTATGAGCTTTTATTTGTACTATTTACTTCCTTCGAAGATCCCTTTTTGTATTTCTAATTTGGATGCGGTTTAACATAAAAGTGTACAAAAAGTACGACCGTTCGGCAGGACAGATTATTGTTTCACATACGGTCCCGTACACATGCGTGATTTCGAATATAAAATTTTTTACCGTTTTGATTTACTAAATTTCTCCCTCGTTACACGGGGATGCATAAACTTTACTTTAAAAAAAAAAAGAAGAAGTAAAGTTTATGTATTTGTATCTTGAATATCTCCAGCACGCATTATCGAATTAAAATCGAACGTTTCACGCGTTGCCAAAGACGCAACACAGGTGCAAAATTGTAAATCAGCAATATATAGCGATTGCTATATGTGGAACAAGGAATTCAAGTGAAGGATCTAAAGTTGTAATAGACAGATAAATATTACATATCAAAATTTACAAATAATATTTAAATCGATATAAAAAACAGTTTCTACTCAATCCTTACAGCCTAGAGTCTCATAAAAAATATTGGAAGATGTTTGATAGTCTTATACCTGTCTGCGAAGATACTAGAAAAATTCGAATCTAGGTGGAATATCTACGAATTGTGACACTCATCTCTTATCTCCCTAGTATAGTCTATACATTTCCTTTAATATAACAATAAATAAAGTAAAAGTCTGTACAATACTTGAACGCTTTAGGCGCTGGATAATTGTAAACAATTTGAAAATGCAATTATATTTCTACAAATGTAAGTACACGTTCTAGTTATCGTAATAAGGTATTCTTGATACCGAACTTGTTCAAGCGCTGCGATTCAATTCGTAACAATCGTACAAAAACGTTTCGTCACGATTTAAGTACACGTTCGCGCGACATCAAAACCGACAATTGTTTTGATTTTAACGCTGTCAGTACGCCTTCCTGCGGATATTATCTGTGATGTACATAATGTCACTATATTTCTACGAAAATATATATATATCTAATAAAAAATATCACGACCCTCGGGCTCGGATTAAACGCGCAACTCGAACAATTATGTACAAGAACGCAGCGTTGAGTCTTCAAAAAAAATACTGGAAGATAATTGCGGGAATATGTTCGTGTGTGAAAGATTTCAGTGAGCTCCGATGACATCGTAGACAACAGTGGGCAAGGACAAGGAAAACGAGATTGTACATAATTAGCGCGTTACATGACAGTGCAGCAGCTCTTCTCCGAGTGATTATCGCTCACGATCTCACTGGTGTTCCCAGTGAAGCGCTGGGTGAGATCGTCAGTGCTGAGATCGGAATTGGAGATGGACGAGACCGGCATCGGGATGCCGTTCCCGTTCGCGTCTAAGGAGCCACCGGATATATGCCGATTCTGGGCCCGTTTCTTCTTCAGATCCGACAAAGATTTCACGAAAACAACGGATACGTGTATGTTGATCTTGCCGTTGGTGTTGGTGTCGGCGTCCGTAGAGTAAATCGGCGACTGCTGCTGGCTGCCGACCAGTGGGTCAGATCCTGTCACTGCTGTCAGGCAAACACGTAAATCCAATGTGCTACTTTTTCGTCAAGCGTGCCGACTTTTCGATCGACGCGATCGCCACTTTTTCGCCCCTCCACCTCAACTCCACTTTCTATCCCTATGCGCACTGATTACAATTAAAAAAAAAAAAGGGAAAAAACCAAGAGTGTCAACTATGAGTTTCATGCGCCAAGCCTGACATGCTTTCAGCAACAAGCGTTTCGGAAACATTGCACCAAGAAGGACCATCATATGCACATCTGTGTGTACGTATAATGTATTGTTACTAAACGATTCAACGGTTGCGTTTTACGCAAGCAAAATCAATGAATACTCGTACAAAAGAGAAAGAGATAGAAAGAGACAGAGAAAGAGGAAGAATATGATAAATACGGCTGTTACGAAGGACAAGAGTAGTGTTTAACGACTATGATATATCTGTACGTCTTCGCATTTTACTACAATGAAACTTCTTTTCAACATTTGGATCGAATGACTGATCTAATTGTACTTATTATCGATTGTAATATACACTAGTGAAATACGGTATGATAATTTTATGTTTCATCTAGAGCACCGTTATCGTCTAGAAAAACGTAAGCATAAAGATCCGTTGGTAATATGTCCACCAATGGCTCGTCTTCGCTATATCTGATATGTTCTTCTTTTTATATACTTCTCGAATTGACTACTTCAATAATAAGAGGAGAGTGTGTTGTGATCCCTCATTACTTACTCCGCCACATAATACAATAGATGCGAAGCATTCACCGATTAGTAGAGAATTCGTTATCAATCTTTAATACGAATTGTGTAAAACTTGACGACAGGTATACATAAAAAAATTCGTAGAGCTGCGATCAATCTTAGGTCATGCTTTAGGCTCAAAATCCGCCCATTACATTACGAGCGTATTATTCGACAAAATATTTACCAAAAAGTCATCTAAATATATAGGGCGATTCTTAATTATAATATTTTCTTCATGTTTTGTGTAATCTCTCGATGTAGCTTTTATGATATAATCAAGAATCGTCCTGTATACTTCCATTCTAGAGGAAACCTGCGCATGGTACAATATGTATAAAGAATGTAGAATAATATAAGTATCTGTCGATTCTACTTATTGTGCGTCCTACTAGCATGATATATACGGTTCTCTAAATCGATTAGGCTCCAGTTTATGTAAGAAATTACAGAAACAATTCGACATACCTATAATAAATACCACAATCCGTTTGATTATTATTCTATCTTGCGTTCAGTGACCGCTAAGCTTTGCTAAAACGGTCCACAAAGATACGCTAAGGAAGCCAGTACATACTTAGGCCTTGCCAAAGAGATTCGATATGAATATAAAGCAAAATGTGTACGTGTATGTGTGCGTTTTAACATGAGAACAACTTCCAGAGAAAAAAAATGTATTGTGTATGCGCAGCACACATAGATATACGTTTTACGTACATCGTGAGCAGATAACTTTTGACGTAGTGTGATATGTATGATACGAAAAAGATAACATAATTAAATGCATCGTATAGATCATAATAATTAAAGAAATAGAAAAGTGACGTAGAAAACTAACCTCGCAATTATTCAGGAACACGCAGTAGTGAAAAAAAAGAAAAAGCTGGTAAATAATCGACAGCTAACACAATGAATTTGACAGAATACATTTATGGGATTTTGTAATTAGCAGATTATGTAAGATACAATTTATATCTATTAGGATTATTCCATATTTATTACTTTCTATTAATGTATATATACCATATATATATAAAATTTTATTTATTATATAAAAATATAAAGATGTGCTTTTGTTAGACTTAACAAGAAACTGTCCGCATACTCTCAGATTATATAATCGTTCTATATAATAATTTAAATTATCTTTTCTTCTTTCGCGCCACAATAATTTTCTACCATTTTTAGTGAGTGATATGGCACATATGTATAGAATTTATATAAAATCTTCATGCTTCGCGTAAATTTTCCTATATTTTTGGCACTATGATTTATAAATGGGTATGATGTACACGTATATGCGTACAAGTATAATGTGCAATTCTTGAATCACATGATCGAGGTACATATTTTTGGAAGTCTCTTCGCACAAAGCTACCATTTACCACAATAGTCTACCGAACCACAACCAATGCAAGCAAGAATACATTTGGAATGTACCTGAATCTTTATCAACATCTTCGTGAAGAAAAGACTCATTGTCTTTTCCTTCGGGACCTTTCCGTACCGCTGAAGTCAGCGCGCTGGAATCAGTCTCGTGGTCCCCTACTTCCTGCGTACTGTTCTCCAACGGCGGTATATTAGTTGTAGGAGTGCTAACATACGTCTGGAAAAAATATCCTGCATAAATTGATATTCCTTTCATCTTAAAAAACCCGGTCTTATATATTTCTTAGGGGAAATGATATCTATATTTTTCCAAATTTTTGTCGTGTACCTGTTGCGCTTGTAATCTCAAGCGAGCTTCTTCCTGAGCATCTTTTTTCGTAGTAAGAACTTTGTCTCGAATAGATGTCCGACGTACGCTTTGTGTTCGTGTGTTTATGCTTTGCGATCTGCGTACCCTACGTCCTTGCGCTTCACGAAGTCGTTTACTCTCTTGTTCTGTTTTCAATTCTACTATCCTCTCTCTAATTTCCGGATCTTCACATATATCTGTACAACGCATTAAAATATTAAAATACAGAGAAATTAAGTAATAATCAAAATAAATAGGTAGGTCTTACCCGCGGGAGTTTCGTCATGCTTATTCTTTGCATTTAAGTCTGCTCCGTTTTGCACTAATAATTCAAGTACTTCCAACTGTAACAGAAAATTGCATATAACTTAGAATGACATTTAAACGTCAAAATGTTCAAAAATTTATAACCGTTACACAAAAAAGATTTGGCAAAAAAAAGATTTGCTATTTCAATCTTATATTTACTATATAACAATCCCGTTATTTGTATAGTTACATAAATAGAAAGATTTAAACTTACATGACCCCAACATGCAGCTGCATGAACTGGCTGCCACTTGTCATTGTCCTCCACGTCTGTTGATACATGCTGATCAAGAAGAAATTCTATGACTCTTAAGTACCCATTTGCCGCTGCTATATGAAGCTGTAATATAAATTGCGGTATAGTAATATATAGTGAATATAATTTACCAATTTTTCTTTTTTCTCAAATTAACAGATCTGTATAAAGACGTGTACATACAGGCGTGGCACCTTGATGATCTTTGTATTCAAGGTCGCCTCCTAAAGAAACAATCTTTTGTAAATCGCGTAACATTTGAACCTCTGTTGAAGCTCTCGTTTCATCTATTAATTCTTGAGTGACTCCTCGCCTCGCCATTTCCCCTGCGTTAAAAATATAATTTATGTAAATACATCATATTACTGTATTTTTTGTTATCAACAAAATATTATAGGGATGACGCATAACTTGATTTATGTCAGTGCGAATGATTAATAATCTGCGAGTCTCGGGTTCAATCCCGATCCTCATTCTACATATTCCTCAATAAGAAATAAAGAGATCTAGTTTGATAGGAAAAATTAAGATCAATCAAAAACAGTATTAAACTGTAGATTAAAAAGAATAAGAATTTTAAGGATCAAAGTGCTTTGAGCAAAATTAGTAAAAAGAATAAGAGAGCAGAAGGCATCTTAATTTTCGCCATTTGACGAGACACTGCAAAATCATTATATATATATATATATAAAACAAAATATTATAATTTAATAAAATCTATTACCTTCGATACAATCCAACGTTTTCTCATCTTCACAAATGTCGTATGGCATGTTGCCATCTGCATTAACAGCTAATAAATTTGCACCTCTGGCAATGAGGTATTTGACTAAATATAAGTGACCACACGTAGCAGCAGCGTGTAACGGTGTCCATTTTTCACTATCCTCCGCATTCACATTAGCACCAAATTCAATGAGTAACTTCATCATTTCCTCATTATCATCTATGCAACATTGATGCAGTGCTGTCAAACCGTCTTCGTTCGTTGAGTCAGGATTTACACCCTTCTTCAAAAGTCTTCTTACTGGAAAGAGATAAATGTTAATAAGGTGTAAGTCTCCGACATACAGATGTATACGTTCCAAACAATGCGTTCAAAATTTTTTACCTTCATCGATGTCATTCCTCGCTGCAGCTTCTAACAACATAACACTATCGCTAAAGTATATATGACGTTTATTACTCGTATGCCTAGTTTGGTGTCGCAGCCATTCCTTCTCACGTTGTCTCCATACTTTTAACTGTTGAAGTCTACGATGCCGTGCCAAGTGTAACCGTTCTTGCGTGGTCAGTCTTTCAACGTGTACCATCTCTGCCACTAACTCGGAATGTTCCATTGTTATGTGCTTGTAATTTTTGCAGGTATATTTATCTGTTCATGCAAAAGAGAAACAAGAAAACATTACGAAATGTTAATGTAACACACTTAGTATTTTATACACACACACACATATATAACGCTTTTTTGTGCGAATATATCAAGAGAATAAAATAATTTGTTCCAGAATAAACATATGTGGCATAAATGCTTGTAGGTCACATTTGACTTTATCAACTGTAGCATACATAATTTTTTTGCTTTATTAACATATTATTAACATATTTGAGAGGATAATCATAAAACTGAAAAAATAATGCAATTCCAGTGGCTTTACTTTTACGTTACAAAATCAAGGTCTCATTTAATTAAAAATTTTTTGTTAAGCATGAATGTCATTCTGATGTATTTGGGATTTTTACTTACTTCAATAACACATTTCGATAACGTAGCTTAACTGATCCCTCCTGAGTTATCTAGAGAGAATGATAGTATATTTTATTGCAGATGTTCTCTCAAACCTATCAAGTATTTAAGTAAACGTACAATATTTGCACAAATGTTCGTGTCAAAAATGCTGCTAAAAAAGCTTTTTATGAATAGTAATGAGCAATGATTTACTTTAAAACTGATCCAATGTGTCCCTTTTTGACTGTATTTTAAAAAATACTCTTAATAAGAAAAAGATTGATGATACATTTGCTTTGAGAATTTTGCATATGAAGAGATAGTAGACAGAATAACAATGTAATATTTTCAAAAATAAATTACTGAAATGCTTCTATATATTTTTGCTTTGGTAATGTAATGAAAATCTTTGTTAAGTATACACAGACTATATGTGCCTGTGATACATTCGCAATAAATTCTATTCTTAATCTCAGATAATACATTACGTCATTAGATCAAGAATACACATTAAACATTCTACAATCTCGGCACACAAAGCAATTAATTTTACATCTCAGAAACAGTTTATAAAAAACCGGAAGCCTAGTTACACACAAGTCTCAATAATGCCAGTTGTTTCTACCAATGTAGATTAACTTTAATCTTGTTTCAACTTATTCTTCATCCTTTTCTAATTCTTAGAACTAGAGAGAAAAAGATAGAGTTAATTGCACCGAGATTAAACTACATTGGTAAAAACAGGCATAAACGTCACGATTGTCCTTCCTCAAAAGAAAGTCGCTACAGTCAAACGGGAAGAAATAAATATCAAAGTTGTTTACGGATATGGAAATTAAAATGATATACATAGGTTTTTTTTAGAAAATTGTTAAGATAGAGGAGCACTTGGTTCCCAATGCGAACTCCAATTCGAATCAATTGTATGATTTCTAAGTCAATCTAACGAGACGAAAGGTGCATAATAGACGCATAGAAGATACTTGCTGATCGTTGATCGAGCCTGGTGCCTGGTTGCACCTTATTTCGCGCACAATCACCGTTGAAAGGTGCTCGGCAAAGTAATGTTCCGTCTCGCCGGAATTCATCTCGCACCTTCCTCCTCGTGTCACCGCGTTCACGTTACGGAGGTGATCGGAAACGCGGTGGAGCACGTCGTCAAGGCAGGATGGACTTAACTTCCTGCCAATTACATCGCTCGGCTTTCGGAGGGCAACCGAAGCCGTTTGCGCGATCAAGGCCAGGACGCGCGGCGCGTATCGCGCAGGATCTCACGGGAACGTGAGAAAGGCTCCGGGTAGAAAGGGGAGGGGAGAGGTTTTCTCGCGGGGGACGGACACGAGGATCAGCCCGATCAGCGCAATCGAGCGATGCGCCGAAAATCAAGAGAGAAAGAGAACACTATAGAGCAGTTCGCTCTTACTCCTTATATTTAAATCTCGTTTTTTACTTATTACTTACGTATAATAAACGCGTGACTTGACACGCGGTGGTTGCGATGCGTGTGGTCCGCTTTCCTTCTCCCCCTTATTTCCTGCGCGATCTCGATCGCTGCAGCGGAATGTAACGAGCGACGACGGCGAGGCGGTCGGGGTCGGACCGAGGACTCGAACTCGAACGTACGGCGGCGACGGCGGGGCGATTCATTCACGTCGCGCTTCGCGCCTACCGCGGTATAATCTACGGCATAATCCGCGAGCGAGCGCGATAATCCTTCGGCGCGCGACGCGCGCGCGCGTTAACGCCGTCTCGCGGGACAAGATACTGTGGCCGGTGGCGAAAATACGCTCGCCTAGCGCGCGTTCCCCGTGCCTGCCAGCGCGTGCAGCCGCGGAAACGTCTACCTGTCAGTCGCCATTTTTAAACTACCTGCGAGAGATCGCGCCCGCGCACGCCTCGCCTCACCTGTTTCGAC